TCCACCTCTGATACAGGCTCTGTCCTCAGCAGTCAACAGCCTTGGAACAGGAGAGCTCTTGCTTCAGAAAAGAAGCTTGTGGACAGATATTTTTTACAAAAGAACTTGTCTGAGCCCTGAAAAGCCAAAGAGCTTAAAGGTTAAGTCTGGCCTTGAAGCCAGACAGATTTTAAATCCCCCTGTGACTAGTGGTTGACTTTGGAAATGTTACTTAAACTTCTGTGACTCAGTTTCCTCATCTGTATAATGGGAACAATTAAAGAACCTATCTCATAAGGCTGTGATGAAAACAAAAATGACATAGTCTATATAAATGTTTTGTACAGTGCCTGGCATTTTAAGCTCCCAATGACAGCCATTAATCTTATTTGTTCTCCTGGGTGTTTCTGGATGTTCTCAAAGCAAGATGCACCTGAATTTCCATTCTTCCTACAGGTTTGCTATTGGTTGAAAACGTGGGGAAGACATACCAATCCATTCCCAGACTTCTTAACCCAGGAATTAATCTATTTCCTATCATGGTCCCTGGATCCTTCTTCACCAACCTAGGCAAGAGGCACTTTCCAACCCCTTTCTGATCAGAATACTGGCCAGAAGGTCCTGGGCCTCTTGTCCCAAGAGGTCCTGGGTAGAGGTAGCTACCAGAGCAAGCAGTTCTTAGAGTAACAGCACCAAGACTATAATCATCTGAGCTAAGCAAAAGGAAAGCAAAAAGAAAAATCACTATTGATTTTGGCTTAAGAAGCAGAATGATTTCTTTCTTGTCGTCATCATGTTTAGTGACCCATTGCTTTGAGCATTAGAGGCTAGATCGCCACCTGTAACATACTCTTGGGGAGAATTTTCTCAGGAACATTTAGAGACTGACTTTGTGTCCCTGAAATGCCCACATCTCTAGTCCCCTCCTAGTTTGTCTCATCCTGCTGTAGTTTCTCCCCTGAATCCTTGGGCATCTTCAGAGAGCTATGAAAAGAGAAGCAACAAGCTCTAGGATAAACTAAACCAACCAATGGGAGTGGCCACAAGTCTCTATGAGTATTTAAATTTCTCATCCTTTGTCACACCTGACAGAGCTCTTGGCTTGGAAACTGGAAGTTGCATGAGTCCCTGCCCTGCCCTTTGTGGGCCCCCAGTGACAGCTTCATCCTCATTCTATTCACTTCTAAAATAAGGGTGATAATGTGTGCAAGATGATAAAGATGACCTCTACAAAAGTGCTCTGTTAAAATATATATGTAACTAAAAGGGATTTTGATTAAGGAAAAAAAAAAAAAAGTTGAAGCCCACTATGTATTTATTGATCAGGCCTGGGAAGACTTCTTGTAGAAGAGGACTTTGTATACCAGAAGGGCTGCATAGCAGATGGATAACAAGAAAGTCTATAAGGGCCAGAAGGACCTGGTTGGGATGCAAGAACAAAAAGCTTGACCTGGGGTGGATAGAGGAAAGTAAGACAGAAAGATGGACAGGGTAGGGTAGGAAAATAGATTCGAATAAGACTTTGTAACCCAGAAATTGGAGCCTTTTTTGATTAATCAATCATTCAAAATATTATGACTGAGAAACTTCCAAGGGCTCAGCCTGGTGCCAGCTTGATTACAGCTATCAGGGATTTCTATAATCTGTTTGTGGGAGGCGGAATTGTCAAAGTCAAAACAACCAGAGGTGGTCCAGGAGAGGCAGTGGATGTAGAGCCAGGAGTCCTGGGGAGGGTCTCAGAAAGGAGGAAGTGGGCCTGAGGTTGCCCTCATTGTGGGTTCAGGGCTGGAGACAGGCTGAGAGGGTGGGGCTGTGGCCACCACTAGGACAATTTGTGACCCTGTTAGCTTTTCCCAATAGTGGATGAACAAGAGTTCCTTCAGTGACAAGACAAGATGCTGAGGAATGTGACCATAGGAAAAATGATTTTTTTATGGGGAAAGAAGAGTAGTAAAGGGAACAAATAAAGGGATCACAAATGTTGGTGCCAAATGGAATCAATTACCTCCAACCCAGGGTTTTCATTGTGCAGTAGCTGGAGCATAAATGGGTGATGTCACTTAACCTGGGAGTGAAAAGCAGGTCTCCAGCCTCATCATTTGGTGACCTTTTGACTCCTTGATGATGACCTAGATGGAGCTAGGGCATTAGACCTTGGACTATAGGGACAGGCCTAGATGGCACACCGGGGCATCTGCAGTGGGAATTGTAAATTCCTAGGCACCAGATTAAGGTGAAAAGGGACCCGAGGGAGAGGGAAGAGGGCAGCACTCTTGATCAGTGCTGTAATAGGGCCAGAACTCTGTCTCATCTTTCTTCCTACACAGCCAATTCCCCGTGCTTCACAGCCAGGATTTGGGATATGTGTTGCAGCTTGAGTGGAAGTAAAATGGGCCAAAGGCTAGAAATATGACCACAAAGGGTTTGTGTAACGTCCTCTAGATTGGAGCAAGTAGAGAAACCGGAACAAGGGATACCTGGATCCAATTAACTCCAGGGTCTCAAACAAAGGGCTATGATGTGTTGGGCTTGCTATTTACACAAATAACTGATATTCAGATGTGCCCCTGAATCTGTGCAGGTTCAGAAATCACAATACTTTGGCCACCTGATATGAAAACTGACTCATGGGAAAAGACCCTGATACTGGGAAAGGTTGGAGGCAGGAGGAGACGGGGATGACAGAGGATGTGATAGTTGGATGGCATCACCAACTCGATGGACATGAGTTTGAGCAGGCTCCAGGAGTATTGGTGATGAACAAGTAAACCTGACATGCTGCAGTCCATGGGGTTGCAAAGAGTCGGACACAACTGAGTGACTGAACTGAACTAAGATGTGCTATGAGCAGGGCGGAGCCAGAGTAAGCTGAGCTGGGGCAAGCATTTGAGAAGAAGGCTGGGTCAACTGCCCTCCCGACTCTCACACACCAGCTCTGGGCAGTCGTAGTTATGCCTTCCTCAGACAGGAGACAGTCGTGTTCCACAGACACTTGTGAACATGAAAAGGGAGAGGGAGGGAAGCAGAGAGGAAGAGATCTATTCTGCCTCACAGCTCTCCATCTATACACCAGTGGAGCGTGAGTCATTTGTTATGCCTAATGAGCTAATGCCACCTTATGTGGAGGCAAAAATGCCAATGAGATGATGGGGTGGGTTGCTATGGGAGACCATGGGACCTCCCTGTAATTTGTACAGTCTAGCAAAGGAATCTTCACGAGAGGAAAACTTGGCTGTCTCCTTCCATCAGGGTAATAAGCCCTTGTGTTTGCACTGAGTTTTATGTATTTCGAGACTTTTTTGCATCTATTGTTATAATTGAGTTTCAGAAACATCCAATAAAGTAGTTGGGTCTCAGTGTTACTTTCCCTACTTTTCAGGTGAAAAGACAGGCTCAGAGGAGTTAAAGAAATTATTCAAAGTCATGAAGGAGGTAGATGGATATATCTCAGAAGACCTAGTTTGCAAACGTTTTTCCATATGTGTCTTTTTTTTTAAAGAACACATCACCAGGTTTGTGGCAATAAGGGGAGTTGGATCAGTTATAACAAATGCCATAGCAAGATGGAAATGAAAAACTTAAGGTGAATCCAGAGAAGTCCCAATTCATAGATGAGAAGTCGATAGATCTTGTTACCAAAGAGAAATTTAGATAGATACCTGCACGCATTGCAACTGGAAGAAATGGCCAAGGAAAGCTGGGGTGGAGTCTCTAGCTGAACAGGTTAGGACTCCTTGTCCTGGCCCTCTTACCTTTCCAGGCCAACCTCTCAGCACAGCTCCAGCCAAGCTGAACCACAGCTGCTCCTTAAATCCATAGGACTCTTCCCATTTCTATGACTTCTTGCATCCTTTTCCTGAAATTTCCAGTTCTAACCCCTCAACATCTTAAATCCCGTAATGAATTCATTGCTCCCTCCTCTGAAAGCACACTAAAATGCTGGGATGTCCCCCATCTATCTCCTCCACTAAACAGTGAGCTCTTTGAAGGTAGGAACTGTGATTCAATCATTACTCAACCCCCAGCACTTGCCAACGGGCCTGGCACTTATTAGGATCCCAGGAGATGTTTATTAATTGAACGTTTCCATCAGCATCACCATCTTAATTTAAACTAAAATCATTTACTGAGCAGCTCCCCTGAGCTGGTCATTATGTAGGTGATGGGCTGTGAGATGTTACCTCCACACTCTAGCGCTCATGAAGACTTTTGGCAAAGCAGAAAGAACATTTGAACTATACTGAACTCAAGTAGGTTAACTGACATAGGAGTCTGAGTGTGGTAAAAATCTGATCTGTTCAAGGTAGGATCTGAGGAGCTTTGAAGAAAGAAAAGGAATATGGGACATCCTAAGACTTTATTGAGGGGGCTTCCAGGGTGGGTTCTATGGCTGCTGTAAGATCAACATGAGGCAAAGCCCAGTTGTCACCAAGCTGAGAGGTGCAAAGACAGCACAGTTGTAGCAAAAGAAGAAAATGAAGGACTACTGCTAAGGAGCTGCCCAGTTCTGCCAAGGAGTCGTCAGAGGAGTGCAAGCTAGAGTAATCAGGAAGGCTGCATGGAAGAGGTGACATGAGCTGGATTTTGGATTCTGTTTAGATAAGGAAGATAGATAGGCAGTCCTAGAATATCAGACAACTGTGAGCCTTGAACTGATAATTTATCAATATGGCTCAAAACAAGCAATGCACAGTTCTAAATCTATCCTCTACCATAGGACAGATTTCACTGCAGGCAGAAAAGACAAAGATTTGAAACCTCTATTCACATCAAAACATTAATTTCCTTTTTTTCATATGAAGAATTAACGAAAAAAACTAAAACTCCAGATGGATTTTAAACACAGTGGGGAATTGGGTGGAGAGATGGCAGATGGCTATTTCAGCTGCACATGAGTAAAAATAATTCAACTTCCCAATACCCAGGACTTTTCTGAACTTGTGAAAACCTCTTCAGGAAAAGTTCAGAGTCACAGCAGACGGGGTCCGAGGTTTAGAGTTTCCCAACAAAAAGAGACCTACCTCTGCTGGAGCAGTAGCCCCCAGACCATTCGGGAAGGCTTCTTGCTCACAGACTCTGCCAGGACTGACCCTCAATGTTAGCCCAGTCTGATGAAAGTACCCTGGCATTTCTTCCCCTATGTTGGGAAAGCAGGGAGGGAGATGAGTCAACTTAAGAGTTAGGTGTGATGAAGACATCATAAAGCAGAAACTCTCTGAAGGGTATAGTGGTGAGTGTGCCCATTGTGGGGAAGGTGGCCCCAGAGGAGGGCAGGGTGGTGACTTTGAAAGTTGATATCTCTGGGTGTCTGATGGCTGTGGTTTGCCAGACTGGCTTTCCTGGGGCAGGCTGGATTTCCCCACATTTACTGTCATCTGCATTTCACCCTAGAGATAGAAAAGGTGCCCTAGGTGGAAGCTCACTTTGTTCACGTGACTTCCACCTGCAGGAACACAGATTCTTTTTTTTTTTTTTTTTGTCACATTTGATGTCTAGGCTGCAGGAAAGAGCTGACCACGGGAGTCAGCCAGGCCACCAGGGCATGATGAAGCGGGCATTCTAGGGGTCCAGTGCCAGGGACAAGCAGGTAAAAACCAGGATGGGCATGGATCTACAGCCCCCAGGAGATTAAACTCCAGAGGAATCATGTAGAACAGGAGTGGTTAACAGAAGTTCCTGACTAGCTGGTCTCTGTTCCAAGGTCCAGGAGGTCAAAGGTACAGGCAGGAGACAGCAGGGAAAGCTCTGACCTTAAACAGGGACCGGCCTTTCTGCCCTGTGTACTGAGTCCTGGTGATCAGGGACCACACTCATTCATGGTGTGTGCCACGGTTTCCTGGACAATACGTATTTGGCTGGGCAGTATGCTAGGGCACATTAGCCAGAGAAGGACACAAGTTACAGAACAACAGAAAGGCTGGGGACATACTGTGACATCAGGGAAAACAGTTCTAGAAAAGAATTATTTACTTGTGTTCCATCTGTGCTGGCCTCCCCAATTAACAGTGGGAGGATGAGGAAGGCAAGGCCATGGGTTCATAGGCAGCAAAGAGTCTCAGTGACGGATACAACAGGACACTCTCTCCAAGTGGATTCAAGGGACTCTAGGGCCAGGACCAACCCCAAGGAGAAGCAAGTGATGGGATCTGGCTTAGAGTCTGGTCTATGGACTGGACTGGGCCTCAGAGCCCAATTCTAGCCCAAGAAAATTGAGAATGTGCCTTTCTTCACATGCCACACCATAGAGGACAAGGTAAACAAGTATTAACAAAGGATACTGCTGCTTTCTGTGTTTAGAAAGAGAGTCGAAAGGCTCCTTGTGTTTATGTGCGGTGGGAGGAAGGACGCTGGGGTTCTGGCGTGAAGGTTATGTCCACCATGCCAACTCCTGAACAACCAGGCTCTGTGTCCAGCTCATTCTTATAAACCGTGAGATCCAGATCTTCCCTTCTCTTGCTCCCAGCAGCCTTGTCTGTCATGTCCAAGTGGGCTAAACGCCCTCAAGAGGACTCGTGTGACACCCTCTGCCCCCTGTCAATCTCATTTCTTCCTTCTCTCCCCAAGACAATGCTAGACATTGCCTCTCTCCTTGACTCTCCCACAGTCAGGGTCAACCACCAACAGGAGGCCATGCCTTCTGCCCCTAAATGGCAGCTAGACAAGATACTGGGGACAGAGGAGGCCATCGTGAGTGAAGGTAATGTGCGTTGTCAGTTGGCCACCCCCTGAGGCCGAGTCAGGATGGGCAGCGCTGAAGCTGCCCCATGTGGGAGTCAAGGATCCTTGAGAGGGTAGAGTCAGGCTCCCAGGCAGGTTCTGCAGGGGAAGCAGCCCCTCATGTGGCCTGTGCACCAGGGAGGGTCTTCAGGCAGTGGGGAAAGGGGAGCACAGTCACAGATTTGGGATTTTTCTCAAGGGCCCCTGACAGTGCAGTATCACCACCTAGCATTCTTAGAAGGGCTTGGAGCTAATTTGCATCTCACAGCCCTTTTCGTAGTAAAATCAAACAGATGTTGAAATTTTTCTAGGCAAATTCTTTCATCTTATATATTAAAAAAAACAAGGCCCAGAAAAGTGAAATAATTCATTAGTGGCAGATCCATGACCCGTACGGGGATCCCAGTAGCAGGCTTTAGTCCATATATGGCCTTCATCATTAGCTCAGCCCTTGTTTGGGCTTGAAAGATACAGCAGACAGCGGAGAATGGAGTGGACCCTAGCACACTCAGCGAGTCTGTCAGATGGGAGACACGGGCAGCCTCTCTGGGTTACAGACCATGAGTGACTCCCAATGCCTTTACCACAGAAGGGGGACAAAGCGGGTGGGCTTTTCCATCCCCCAGGCTCCCTCCTCCCTGCATGTGCATGGGTTCTTTCTCTTCCTTTCTTAGTCCCCCAGTGTCCTGGAGCTGGGACCTCACTCGGAGTGGACGTATCACCTGAGTACACACAGTTTGTCCCTCACACAATACAGATTCAGCAGCAGACACCCCAGACAACAGTCCTATTCTCTAGGAGCTGGTGTTCTGATGTGGTACATGCGTGCTAAGTCGCTTCACTCATGTCCAATTCTTTGCGATCCTATGCACAATAGCCCGCCAGGCTCCTCTGTCCACGGGATTCTCCAGGCAAGGATACTGGAGTGGGTTGCCATGCCCTCCTCCAGGAGATCTTCCTGACCCAGGAATCCAACCCACATCTCTTGCATTGGCAGGTGGGTTCTTTCCCACTACCACCACTCAGGAAGTCCATTCTGATGGGGAGATACGGTCAAACACAAATAAATGTGAAGTCAGGAGGTGTTGGATGGCATAGGGAAAGTACAACAGGGAGGAGGGCTCAGGAGCGCCGGTGGCGGCGGGAGCTCTGTTAGCTGCAGTGCGAGGGAAGGCGGCTGCATGAGGGTTGACTCGTGAGCCGCATCCTGGAGGGGGGGGTGTCTGTTGATTGGGCAAACGGTGTCCACCTTTCCAAATGAATGTTCATATTGCAGCAGCATTTACATACATTTTGAAAGAGTCCTACGTGGGTGCCTGCAAGTTGCATTGTTTATTAGGTCTGCAGACGGTTCAATGAGTAGGTGATTTCAGAACTCCTCCCCCCCCCAACCGTTGTGGCCCTAAAATAGGGCACTGAAACTTCACCCCCTCACCTTTCCCATTGTGTTGACCCCCCTAAGGTCTGCTTCCTCAGGCCTCACTGCTGAAAGGCTCCAACAAGCTCATGGGGACCAAGGTAGCAATGTCAGTGGTGATAACTGAGCAGGAATTCATGACTTGGAATTGATCCAGAGTTGGGATTCAAAAGAACAAAAAAAGAGCTCAAAATTGTAGGCAATAAATATGTGAGTGTGTACCATTTGAGGTCAGCTTCCACTCACTTCTGAATAGTCCTTTACTAAGAAAAAGAAGGGGTACGGGTAAGAACCACAATGTAAATTGGTCATTCTTCCCAGATAGTATGTGTGTTTTAACAGAGACTTTCAATGCTTATTCACAAAAAGTGAGCACCAGATAGGGGTGGGCAGACATTCTAAAGCCATATCCAGAAAGACCCACACAATCTGTAGATAAAGATGCAATATCTCTGATTCCAGAAAGTTAAGTCTTCCCTCCTAAAGTCAGCCTTGAACCATGCCTCTAACATGCTTAAAAAGAATGTATGAGATGAAAAACCTCCAAACGAGTGTTCCAGTCTGAGCACAGAAAGGCATGATCATTCAGAAGGAACTCAAGTATTTGGAGCAATAAATAAATAAATAATCCATCCAAAGCCTGTACTCTACCTTTGGATAAATTATGCTTGATTTGAAGGTCAAGAGTGTTACAATAGCCTGCTTCACCAAGGTGCATGAAAGCTGAAGCTTGCGGTTTGGTAGAAGAATTTGCAGGGTATAATTATGCACCCCTTCAACATCCCCACTGCCTTCCACGTGATGTGAAACAATGTGTCACAGTCCTGTACAGTCAAAGCAGTAATTTACAAGAGTCAGCAATTCCACAGGGCAGGTAGGCCATATTTCAAAACGGGAAAGGAGTTGGGGGGATGGAGACGGGGATCAGCGGATCAATTTACAAAGATCCTGTTTCTCTGCCACTCTGTTGACCTTTCAGGCAAGACCTAATGCCAATTAGCTCCGTTATAAAGTCCATAACTCTTGCAGGGAAGGCCGTGTGTAGCACATGATCATTTTACAATGTTTGCCCTAATTTGCAGCCCCCAAACTTGGACTCCTGGGGCTGCAAGATGGGGGTGGGGCGGTGTACTGGCAAGCGATGGGAGCAGCTGGAAGGGATCACAGAGCACAATTACTGTCTGCGCATGGCCACATCTGGAAAACAGCTCCGTGCTAGCTTTAAAACAGCATTAATGAAGAATGGAACCTTGTGCTGGGAAGGATGGGGTGGGGGTGATAGGAGGAAATAAGGGGGAGGGGGCGCCCTTCTCCCCAACTTGGTGAGGATGAAAAGACAACAAAGAAAACAGCAGGCAGGGTATAAGACCAAATCCAAGGAGAAAAGGGTGTTGACAAGAAAGGGGAGGCAGGGAGATACTGTGAGTTTAGGATGCAGTCTCTAGTTCTCCTCATTTTTGCCAACTTGAAAGCTGGATATCCACACAGGACTGGCCCCTTCTGCATTGATTGAGCAGACATTTGCCTGTGGTGTGAGATCTTAGTGGCATCTGGAAAATTCCACTGGTACCAAATTCTACCACTAAACATTAAGCCCTTTGGTCAAGGGGTCCCCTCTCCTGACATAGATTTGAAAATGCAGGTGTACTTTATGCCTTTCAGATCCCAGGCACATAGTAGTTGCTCAGTAAATATTTGTTGACTATAACTGAATGAATGGGTTGAATAAGACATTTGTGACTATGACCAAAAAATTTTCTGACTATGACCTTCAGCTATAAGGGTTACCCTAGACCAGTGATTTTCCATGTGAAGGCAGGAGGAGAGGACAAAAGGTCTTTCCAAGGGGCACAACAAATCCTATGGGGAGGGAAGATGGTAGCATTTGTGTTTGAGAAAAAAAACATTCAATTGTAAAATATAGTTTTATTTTTGGAAAACTGAAGAGTCTGCTCCTGATACAAGAGACTTCTCCAATATAATCCACAGAAATAAATGCTCAACTGAATCTTCCTGGCTGGTGAGGATTCATAAACTGACCTTAGAAATCAAAATGGGCACTTTCCATCCCACCAGAAATCAGAGCGCCTCTCGATCTCCCAGAGAAGGAGGGGGATTTATTTGATTGAGGATCAAAAAAGGCTGAGAAACTCCGAGTAGGGGGATTTGAGGCCACCAACTCCCATCTTCTCCATTGGGCTGTTGCATGTTCCTTCAGTAAGACAGATCAGCCGCTCAGGTTTCCAGGAACTAAAGTAGGACATATTGCAGAGAAAACAGGGTGTCAGGGAGATATAAATAAACTTAACCTTCCTGGTCTGGGTGCCTGTATCCCTGCCTGCTCAATGCTGCATCTTTGGCACTATGCAGGCATGTGGAAGGGCATGGCCCTACTTAGCATCTGTTTCAGTATTTGCCTAAAAACCCTAGAGGCCAGACTATAGACCTGGAGAGGTGAAAGAAAGCCTATTCATCTCTACCCCTGAGGCAGAAATTCCCCATTAGTGTCCCTAAGGTCATACACCTCCTGATCAGATGCCTCCAGCAAAATATTGAAACTAAGATCTTTGAGCAGCCCTAGGTCAAGTGCCACCTCAGCCATCTACCAGCAAAGTTACCTTGCCCAATTTACTTAATCTTTTTATGTCTTGGCTTCCTTTCCTGTAAAATGAAGATAACAGTACCTCCTTCATGGGATTAATGTTGGGGTTAAATGAGATAATATATGTTGTTTTCTCACTATTTGGAAT